GAAACTCTTAATGTTGTCCGGTTGTGTAGACGAACGCTGTCATGATGTTCTGGAGGCATTGATTATATGCTAGGCATCTTTCTTGGGTGGATCATATGTTACCGACGCTTCACAAACAATGAATGGAGATATTATGGGTATAACTTTGGCTAGTGGAACCATGAATCTTCACCTGTCGAAGGTCTTAATCTTCATTATCCCTAAGCTTGAGTAATTCTCAGTTGAAGAAAGTAGTATGATAGCCTTCGTTTGTTACAGGAAGCGGACAGGAAATATGTCGGAATGCTATTGGCTCTGATGCGAAACAGCAAAAGAGCAAGACTGATGCATGAAGATCTATCGCAAGGCACCCGGAGGCCTGCAGAGCTAACAATTGGATGCTTTGATGGAATTAAGGTGTGTTTCTGATGCTGTTTTCTCTCCCCTTGAATTTTGAGAGTTTATTCATTGTTCTTGAGCTTGAATTGGAAATTAGAGAGATGCCAACGAGCTTTATGACTAGTTTTGTTTTTGGGTTACAGGCTTTGCGAGAGCAATATGGTACAGAAAGCATTGTGCAACAAGGGGAGGAGCTATTACTTAGCGTGCTGTCTATAGTTCTCGATTCCTTGCAGGCAGCATACAAAGGTCTGTAGTCTTGTTCTTGATAAATAGTAGTTCAGTAAAATGAACGTCGCAATGCTTAGATCATTGAACATCTTAATGTGATTCAACAGTCAAGAAAGTGATGGCAAGAGAAGCCTTGTTCACCTATATAATATTTGGATCCATTGAGCTCATGTGACACCATGGCCATCTCATTCATTTTAGAATCCTAGTTCAATGACTCTGTAGTGGGAAATGGGAAATTGTTACTTCTGAAGCTAGAGTTGTTGGTTGCAGAAGTCTGAACCATCATTTAACGTGCCTTTGCTATACCTGCATGATGAAATTGTCCTAAGCTGTGTCATTGTTGTAACCTGGCATGTTTTTGGCTCTGAAGCTGTATCTCAAGTTAGTGGTAACTGACAGATAGTTTTTTTTCACAGGTCAACTTGTTGCGGTAGTTTCCTTTAAGCCAGAATCACAGACCAAGTTGGACGTGGTGCTGACTGACTGGCCATCTGCTCGTATGTTGGTTGAAAGCAATGTATCACCTGTACTTAATGCCACCATTTTGGAAGTGGCCCTAGTCAGAACGACCTTGGCTTGGTTGACAGGAATCATTCTTCTCGTTTCTACTCTCATCGGGGTAAGAACAATATACGTAGGCTTGTTTCCAATTTCCGTTTAGATCTTCTTTTGATTTACGAACCTGCCTTTCTGAACTTGCATAAGGGATCACTTTTTCTCAGTGTGCCTGTGCCCCAGCAGTCATCAGCCGTACCTATAATGTTAACTGCTCATCTGTTTTGTGCTCGTGCTTTGACAGGTCTGCATGCTTTTCAATATGCCACTCACTAAGGACACCCTTCTCTACTCCAATGTCAAGCTCGACTAAGTTGGAAGGAGCAGACGCGTCTTTCAACCATTAAAAGTTGTCGTCTGTGCAGGACATAATTGGGGGACAGTTTGTTGCTGAGCAGTGGCTAGCTATGGTTTCTGTTAAACCCGTACCTTGATTGTTGATAATGTCGAATGTTATCAACAAAGCTGAAAGCTGCTGCTATATTGGATGTGCTTGACCGAGGGATTGGGTTTAATTGGAAACTTTACAGGTTGATACTAGTAGGTCATTCCTGTGTGTGGGAAGTAGGATCCTATGGCCAATTTGGAGTTCTCTGTATCTTAATAACAGATATTAGCCGTATTTGGGATTGTTGCGCGTTGTTGAATAAGTCAATATTGTTTTGAGGTCAAATGGATTTAAAGTTCGTCATATTCGTGATTTTGTAGCCTAGTTGGAAGTAGGAATTTCTCTACTGTGTATTAAAAATATTCCTCTACATTGTTCATTTGCTCCGCGTCGTTTCGGTAGAGCTGTCCATTTTGTAGCGAGACAGGCTCTCTCATCGAAAGTTGGTCGACTTTTGCACGTGATTGTTTTCGGTTCTCTGACGATGTGACTGAACCAAGGTTGTCAACCCGCCGGTTGACCCAGACCCGGTCGAGCTAGTGGGTCAAGGGTTAATGGGTCAACCGTTTTAGCCCGGTTTGGTCCGGAAATATAGAAAGAGTCATTATATTGTACTTATCCTCATAAATTATATCAAATATTATCTAACATATGAGTTATAACATATAATATTACACCAAAATAACATATCATACTTAGATCCAACATATAGTGAAAATTCACACACACTTATATAACATAAATATTCAAATGTTCACCTTAGTATTCCAAAGATTGAGTTAGGCGAAAAGAAAAATTGGAAAATAGACGCATTTCGCAAACTAAAGAAAAAAATGATACAATTTAACCTCCAACCCGGTACCTTATAGCGGTCGGCCCGGCGAGTGCGTACGGCCCGTTTTTCTCACCGGGTCAGGGTCAAATTGGGTCGACCCGTGAGTCAACCCGCGTGTTGACGACCTTGGACTGAACGATTATTTTGTTTGTATGTTAAAAAAAGGTCGTTCATCCAAACAAATACACGGATAGTGTTAATTTGTGTGGCCTTTTTGGGCCTGGGGTTACCGATAAAGCTTCTGCCACCTGTCAGAAGAGATTAGTTGAAATGTTAATTTGTGTGGGCTTTTTGGGCGTGGGGTTACAGTTACAGATAAAGCTTCCCGCCACCTGTCAGAATAAATAGGATGACAATTTCGATCGGATCCGTTTTATGGGACCTGTTTGATCTATTTTGGGGTGAGTCCGACCCGTCCCGTAAGCGGCGTGGGCATGGATACTCTTGTTGACCCGATCTATCCTGACCCGCCCCATTCTCGATCCGTTCTTGCCTAAATTACTTGTCATCTTAGTCAAATTACTTAAAATTTTTTTTTTATTACATCATATTTTAGCTATAATAAAGTTGTAAATTAGTGAAAACCTCAATTTCTCCAATAATTTTATTATATTTATCATAATATTGCTTATTTTCTTGGTCTTATAATAAAATTAACGAATATTTCTAATATTTTTCATATAAATTGCATACCCATTGGATCGACATGCCCCGACCCATAATAAATTACTCGACCTAGACCCGACCTGCCATTGGGCAGGTCTGGGTACCAAGAAACCCGCCCCGAACCTGCCTATTGCCATCCTCCATTAATATATAGTAGAGTTTTGTTTAATTTTCTCCATTTCAAATTTTCTGCAACGAGAGTGAAAGTAGGAATGACATTTTTGTATTTACAATTAATTATTTATTTCATATAAAAAATATCAATATCAAGATTTGAACCCAAGTCTCTTCAAACAAAGACAACAATCATAACCAATTACACTAAATGAATTTGCTGCTTCTATTTGAATACAAAACATACACAAAGTTAAACTCTAGAACGTGAATGACTTTTACATCATGATCAACAAGCCCACTAAGTTTACCGTATGTATTTTTATGGTGTTTAATACTTTAAATTTCACAGTATATCCATTTTAAAATTCTTGTTGTCTCCTTAACTTTGTAATTGGTTAACATGAAAGAAACTTTCTTTTACTACGTGTTGTGTCATTGCATTTTTCAATTTAAATTTTGTGCCTTTTTTTTATTTTTGTTCTTTTCTATTTCTAACTTCCTACGAAAGTCCCTCCATCGTGCAATAGTTTGGCCCTTTCACTTCCCAGTACAAGGGCGCATTTGAAAATTAATCTTCCGGTTTCTCTTGGCATGACAGTTTTATTCTTGAGGATTTAAGCTAGGTAAGTAGAAGATTTCAAATCCAATATCAATCCATGGCGAATAGAATGGAGTCAATCAAGTAGTTATGAATTTGAACTTGGAGTAGAAGAGTTGGAATTGAGTTTGAGAATGGAAGTGGTGGAGAGAAGAAATTGTTTTTGGATTTGGTAGAAGCTAAAGTTTCACTGCAGCAGGTGAAAGGCAGAGAAGAGGGAGTTGGAGAGGGCAGTGAGCGAATTGAGGAGGGTATTGAAAGACATGGAAACGAAACTGGAGCAGTTAAAGAGAGCGAAGTGAGAGATGATGAGGATAGTAATGAAAATGGAGAGGGTATTGAAGGGCATGGAAGTGGACTGAAGCAGGTGAAGGCAGACAAGGGGGAGATGAACATATTGATGGAATTGGAGATGAGTGTTGGTTTTAGCGAACTTATTACAACCGTCCATGAGGAAGAGAGTTTGCAAAACACAAGAAGAAGATTGAGGAGTTGAAGAGCGAGTTGACAAGAACCCCAATTGGAAGAGAAATTGAGCGCCACGGAGAGAAGGTCCATCAAAGTAGCATAAATGGAGTTGCAAAAGGAGAATTAAAAAGTGAATGTTTGGTTGAAACATATGCCTCTTGAGATTGAAGATAGAGTGGATAAAAAATTTGGTCGTTCAACGGAGAGTGGTGGCTATTGGCTCTTTAGGTTTATGGTTTTTGCAGCTACCACAACTCATTTCTATATTAAAACGAGGAATCATTGATTGATTTACTGAATTAGGTCGATTCTTTATTCAACCTACTGAAACTGATAGATAAGGAATGAGCTAAATTACACGTTTGGTCACTCTAATTATATGAATCTTTCACGTTTGCCACCTGAATCACTTTTCTTTCTTATTCGTCACCAGCTTTACGAATCATTTCACCATAGCCACCGGCCGTCCAATTCCGTTAAAATCATCATACGTGGCAGTCAACTAAACCCTTTAACCGTTAGTTTGATGACGTGGCATTTATAAAATATTAAAAAAATAAATATTAATTTTGAAATTAAAAAAATTCATCTTCCACTTTTTCTCTTCCTCCCAACTTGGAGTAAACGAAATGGAACCCAGAACCCAAATGCCTCAATCCCTCAACCTTTGGCAACGAGGATTTTCTCCCGCCTCTCCCATTTAACTTTAAGACTCTGCTCTCACCCTTTTCTCCCCTTGTTCCATTCATGGCGACTCGTCGAAACGATCAAAGCTTTTCTTCACTACCTCATCGTCGTCGTCGCCGCCGTTTACGATTTCAACAACAAGAGTCCCGATTCTTGACTCGTCCATGACTGAAACAGAGAGCCAAGGGAGAAGTTCGATTGGTTCGCACAGTGCTACCCTGTAATGTCGGTTTGTGATCTGGACAAGAGAATCCCACATGCGAGAACGGTGATGGGTCTCGATGTCGTGGCGTGGTGGGATTGAATCACGAATGCCTGGAAGGTGATCGGCGATAGTTGGCCACATAGATTGGCTCCGCTCTCCGTATGAAGGATCGATCAGTCGGGAGGTTGCAGTGCTTTTATCGTGGATTGTGTAACTCATCCCTCAGACTCCGATAGATGGTCCGCCAGTAAACTCCTCAATGAAGAGGATAATAGCCAACGACCGGAACTTGCTGGGCCTCATAGCTCTACCACATCACAGGCACCGAGTCACCTCCATCACTAAGAGTGCATCGGCTTTCTGGACTGGTTTAGAGAAGATGGCGGCTGATACCGCGACTTCTGCTTTTTCGCCGGCCGGAGGTGGGTTATCATGGCTGGTTCGGGTTCCCAGAGAGAGCGAAGGAGGAGGCTCGAAGGAGTAGTAATCACGGAGCTTCGACGAGGCGGAGGAGGAAGATTGGTTGCGCGAGAGAAGCGTGAAGGAGAGTGAGAGATGCGGCGAGGGAGACGGCTTCACCCGGCGACCGACAAGCTGCAGGAGGTGCATTTAGTAGGGTTTTGTGTCGGAAGTCTTTAGGGTTTAATGGTGGTTGGTCGCCGGACTACCGGCAGAAGAGAAACAGATACAAAAGAAATGTGGAATAAGTGAAATGAGACCTTTACTCCAATCTGAGAAGAAGAGGAAGAAGTGGAAGATGAAATTTCATTAATTTGAAAATCAATATTTATTTTTTATTATTTTTATAATGCCATGTCATCAAACTAACGGTCAAAGGGTTTAGTTGACTGCCACGTAGGATGATTTTAACGGAATTGGACGGCCGGTGGTTATGGTGAAACGATTCGTAAAGTTGGTGACGAGTAAGAAAGAAAAGTGATTCGGGTGGCAAACGTGAAATATTTGTATAATTTGAGTGACCAAACGTGTAATTTAGCCATAAGGAATGTCTAATTTTGTGCCTTATAACTTTGATCAAGTCTATTAGTATATTGGAGGTAACCTAAATTTTGTTGTTTGCTCTCAAGTTTTGATGTTTTCCTGTTAGCTTAGTTTTTATTATATAGTTGACTTGAACCAACAACTCTTTATTTTTTTATTAGTGGCATATTGTTCCTAAAAGGAGAGCATAGTAGCCTTTATGTAGGATTGTGAGGTTCCATATTCAGTTTCAAACTATATATGGGTCGTGTGGTAATTCTTGTGAGCTTATATTCAATCTTTCTTGAAAATCAACTAACTAATATAATATTATTGTTTGTGCCACAACACCCGTCGATACTCCCGACGCTTTTTCCCTATCCGGCGCCTGCCTACACACACGAGCGAGGAGGGGGCGCCTGGGCCCGTTAATCCTCCGACGCCCAAGTTAGTACCTTAGAGAGGGAAGTGTCACAAAGTAGGAATTTTAGTGAGAGAGTCCAACCTGTGTAAATGCTACCAACTGCCCCTATTTATACTCGCCAAGCTCGAGGTTGATCTCATCCACGTCACTGTCCCCATTTAATGCCTTGTACTCACCTTGTCAGATATCTCAACCGCCCTGTCAGGCTTCTGACGCGTTGGCAGGCGCCTGTCGGCGATGGACCACTTGACAGCCTGGCCTCCCTTGGCTTTTCGTGTTTTGTCCTCATGCGCCCCTCATCTAGCTTGGGCCTAGGGATGCTTCACTAGCCCGTTCGTGGGCCTTGCCCCCCACTTCTGTTGCCTGGAGGCCCAGAACACTCGCTGATGGGTAGTACCCCCAACAATTGTCCCCCAGTTAGGTGCTCGTGGCTTCACCTTCGAGCGCCTAACTGACTATTATGTCTTGGCCTTGCGTTCTCTTTGTTTACAGGCGCCCGCCCTTGGGGGCGCCCTCTGCTATATGTGCCCTTTTTTTCTTTTTTTCTTTGTGGTTTGTAGGCGCCTTTACTCTCCAATAGCAGGCGCCTTTTTTTCTTTGTGGTTTGATGTGGGCCCCACATTTTCCGTTTTTGGAAAGTCGGAAATTTCGAATTTCGAATTCGGGAAATTCGAATTTCGGAATTTACAAACAAAAATATTCAAAAAAGGAAAAGGTGGGGGGAAGCTGAAAAGCACGCCCGTGATGTTGACACGTGGCGCGCGGCACGAGACCTGGCTGGGGTTCTCCCTTCCTTTAAATACCCCCTCCTCCTTCAGTTTTTGTCACTTTCGACAAATTGACTTCTCTCTAAGACTTCGCTCTGACTTCTCTCTAGACTCTACTTTGCCCTCCCTCCCGTCAGTCTTTGCAATCGTCACACTTTTTTGTTGTGTCAGTCGAGAATGTCGTCACCACAACAAAACAAAACTTCTGGACAAGGCGCCTCGGGCGTTGGCGCGACTGGTGCAGGCGCTTCGGGCGCAGGAGCCTCGGGCGCGGGTGGTGAAGCTAGGCGTCCGACTCAAAGCGGTAAGGAATCTTCTATCCCTAGTTGTTTCTGTTGAGTTTATTCTAGTAATCTAGGGTAGGGCGTCACTTACTCCGCGTCCACATTGCGCCTGGGTCGTTTGTTGGTTTAGAGAGGGCGCCTGCTTCTACGTCTGCTGGTCCTTCAAGCACCACGACTCCAGGCTTCATGCCCGCTAGGGGTGGGCATTGGGTGGGTCGGGTGGATTTTGACCATAAAATGCATCCACCCGCGCTTAAACGGATTGATAATTTTTAACCCACCACCCACCCACATTTAGTCTCGGGTTGGGTCGGGCGGATGGTGGATGATGCGGGTGGGTTTGTGGGTTCACCCACATCACAATGTATATAATATAAAGGAGTCAACTTGACATGATAATAGGTGAAAGAATCATCGAGGGAAACAAGAAGTTGAAATAGGGCGAAAAATGTCGAATTAGTTCTTAAATTGGATAGGAATTCTATTGTGAAAGAGTTTTCTACAGATTGAGACGATTATTAGGTGCAAGGAACTAAGGAAAATAATTCCACAAAGGAAAGAGCGGTGATCTAAGCACAAGAATTAGAGGAAAAAGTAAAAGGAAGAAGAGGGGATCTCTATTTGGAAGGTTGGCTTTGAGGTTCAAACTCCAGGAGCAGTCCGAGTTTATATCTAATGTCTCCACTCTCCTCTCTCTAGCGCCAACGACTTTGATCTTTTTGTTGTTGGGTTGAGTGGGTCACCCGCACACTCACCCACAACCCACCCACCACCCGGCGGATGGCTCCCAGCGCAACCCGTCACCCACCCACAGACCCACCCACTTAACGAAATTCGGATCAAATGTGGATGGGTCGGCCCAAACTCGCGGATGATCCGCCCGCATGCCCAGCCCTAATGCCCGCGGACGGGTCCTACAAGATCACGACATGGGAGAACTCCTTCCCCCCCGACCATCTTCCGACGGAGACATCCCAGTTGCCCTTCGATGTGGCCGGGCCATAACATACGTCCACTGTCACCCTGGCTCGCGTCCATGAATTGGTGACCAGCCTCCAACTCCCGCGTGATTGGTGGTATGCGCCTCCTTCAGCTATTTCACGAGTAGGCGTCTGTGGGCCGAAGTGGATCGGGGTGTACCAAGAATATTTCCGCTTCGGGCTGCGGTTTCCCCTTGACCACATCATGGAGGGGATTTTGACGACTTGCGGCTGCCCGCTGGGGCGCCTGTCTCCCTCGGTCATTACAGTCGTCATCCTGTTCAAGTTGAGGTGCCGGCAGCATAACGTGGAGCCCACCTTCAACTTGTTCAGATACTTTTTTAAGATGGCGCCTCTTGACAACTGCCTATCCCTCCAAAAACGGAAGAAGCGCCCCTATCATTTCGTGCTTCGATGTCCCAAGTTGAACCGTAGTTGGTTTAACGGCTTCTTCTTCATGAAGGCTTATCGGGACTCCTTCTTCGAGAGTGGAGGCGCCTTCCTAAGGCAGTGGGAACTGGGACACGTCGAGGACTTCAACTCCCCGGTTGTGCTATCTCGGGCAGAGAAGGACGGCGCCCACCTGATCTGCACGAAACGCGTGGATTTGCGTATTGCAGAAAACCATCCGCCGATTCTAGAGGCGTATTACAACGATGGTTTGTAGGCGCCTAGGTTTTTTCTTCGTATCTTTCGTTGTGATTGTGCTGACGATTTTGACAATTTGCAGGGTCGGACTACTCCAGCATTGCCAAGCTGATGAAAAGTCGGCTTGCTGCTATGGCGGCGGGGACGCCCCCTCCGGTTCGGCAAGAGGCGCCCGAACCAGCTGCCACTCAATCGCGGGCGCCTCCATCGGGCCCCAAGAAGAAGAAGAAGAGGGCGGTGAAGGGGGGTACCATGCGTACGAAGACCGCCAGCGTGGCGTCTTCCGCCCCGGAAGAAGGTGATGGGGCGCCTGACTCAGAGCCCGCGGAGCAGAAAGCCAACTCCGCGGAAGAGGAGGAGGAGGAGCCCCTGATTCGTCGGGGAAAGAGAGCCGGCTCCCCATTAGCCCCTGCCAGTAAAAGGGCTGATAAGGGGAAGGGAAAGGAGGGCGCCGCTGCTGCCGGTGACGGGGAGGGCGCCCAATATCACCTCAACGAAGAGAGGCGCTATGTCGGCCCCGATGGGCGCCCCCCAATATTCCAGTCGCGCCGCGCCGACGTTGGGCGCATCAATTTGCCATGTTCACCGCTGGCAGCCGTCGACCGAGGTTGCGCCATGGGATTGGCGATCTCGGCTGCCAAGTCATGGCAAGTCCCATCGGAGGTGAATGGGGACCACCTCTTCGCTGAACTGGCCCAAGTGGGTGCCAAGGTATATACTCTTGTACCTGTTTTTCTCGTGGTTGTGGAATTGTCTTGTTTTTTACTTATACAAAGTGTTAAACTTTCTTGCTTGGTGTATGAAGATCCTCCTTTTTGTTGAGAGAGGCGCCCGGCGCCTCAATGAGTCGACACGAGAGGCGCTCGAAGCCTCTACATCTGCTGCCTCCTTGAAGCACGACTTGGAAAGTGCGACCGCGCGTCGCGAGCAGTTTACGAAGGATTGTGAGGAGGCACAGATGAATGCGGCCATGGAGGTGTCGCGCCTTCAGGGCGCCCTTGAAGACGAGCGCAAGAAGCTGGCAGATCTTCAAGCGGAGAAGGAGGCGCTGGCGCAGGAGACAGGCGCCCAAGCCAGCGAGATAGATATCCTCAAAG